TGACGTTGCTGTTTCACGTCTCGCTGGGGTTCATACGGCTCATTCGTGTTTTCATCTCCTCCCCCAGCTAGCAGCTGTTTTCTGCTGTTCTCTGTTTCCGTTCCGCTGTCTGCAGACCTGTTTCTGTCGCCGTCGTCATGGTCCTGGTCTTCAGAGGCACCACTGGCAGAGGCACAAATCTGCAGACCCACGCTGTGGGGGGGGTTGACATGCAGACACTCAGATTCAAATAAAATTTAAAAAATGGTGGCAACGGCGGGTGTTGGGGGGGGGGGCTGAGCCGCAAATAATTCCCCCCCCATGACCCTGACCCTGGTGAGCTCACCGGTGGTAATCGAGTAGGTGGTATGGGGGCCAGATTGGGGGAATCCACACCCCCCACCCCCCCCGCCATCCAGGGAACTGAAAAATGAAATTCTAGTAAGTCTTTCCGTTGGCCGGCAGGGGGTTTGCTTAGGGGATGCTGGGGGGCCAGCGAGGGCGTCCAGGGCCGCTACTATAGTTAGCCGTCATGTTTGGCCTCGGCACCTTCCACAGAATCTACACTCATTCACTTCGTCCATCGAAATGCACAGAGAAAAGGAAGATGCATGAACACCGAATATTAATCAACAGTCAGTCAGAACAAATGCGCTGATACATTATGCCAGCAGTTCTCAAGCTATGCTTCCGCTGCCACTAGTGGTGGGTGTGGGCTCTGCAGCGATCAGTCTATCCAGCGGGGGGCGCTGTCTGCTTTTTCATACCATCATGCCTGGTATACGGTATATGACGTACGGTATATGACATACGGTATATAACGGTATTGTTTTAAGAAAAGGCTCCAATCACCGCTAACGCTGTGGACAACAATGCATGGCCTCAATACAGCATCTATCTATCAGCATCATAGAAAGAGGGGAACCTGTTTTTTACAGTATTAAGAACAATACCTTTGGGATTCCTAAATATTGGGGTATGCCGTAATATGGTGCAGTGCAGAGGTAGATATTTCAGGCCCAGAAAGAAGAAATCCAGACCAAGGTTTTGTTTCAACGAACCACCTGAGTACTCTGTGACTGTGTTCCTCTTTATCAGCTGATTGGGTGAAACAAAACCTTGGTCTGGATTTGTACTTTCTGCTCCTGAAATGTCCACCACTGAGACACAGTGTAAAAAACAACTGCATTATGCATTTAATTATCCCTTTTTAACTTTATATAAATGAGATACACAAATTAGAGTTAAATGTATTAAAGTATCATTGCTTTCCACTACAGCAATTGAGCTGCATGAGCAATAATAGGACCAGGCTGGTACACTTGGTGTAATCCCATAATCCTTTGCTCTTTTTTCTAAACATCTGGAGTTCTGTGTGCTGGACTTGTAGCCAGGATGGACTGTTGTTCTGGTGGCGGAATGAACAGGAAGCCGGAAGAAATATTAGATGGAAAAAGAGATTTACACTTCAATGGCTGATTTAATGTCCCGCATGAAGCAGAGGCAGAAGGGCTTTTAACAGTCATTTTCATCTGGGATTCAAATTCCTGTCGCGTCATTGTATAGCTGCAGGTCTGCCTCTGTGTGTCGAACCCGGGTCTCTGCATGTATAATGAGTCCGGGGCCTCTGGGCTCAGCTCGGGGACAGCAGGTTACAAGAGTCAGACAGACGTTCCCCCCCCCCTCCCTGCGCCTCCATCTGTCCCCCCCCACACACACACACCTGCACCCAGAGTGGCTTCCTGGAGAGAACAAGAAAGAGACAGACAGCAGGTGGCGTAGTTGTGTAGGACTTCAGAAAAATGTTAAATTTTTCTTTTTGTTCTTCGCGTAGTTCAAATAAAGCCAGTCATGTAGAATAATGGAGCGCCGTCGCAATCCTGGCGTGAAATGGGGAGGATGTGGCAGGTTGGGGACAAACTCATCTGTAACTCACTGCACCGAGACTATAAAGTGAGTTTGCGTGTTAGATGAGACACCTGCGGCCCGGTTTTGCTGGTTCTGAAAAGCATTTTATGCCCTGCTCAGCTCGGAGGAGGACGTTGATGACATTTCCCCATCTTTCCCCGTTCCATCCTCCAGGTCTGTATGCTGTCAGAGATTATTCACTCCAGATTCCATATTCTAGAACTAACGGAAATTAAGGAGGTGATCTGCTTGTATTGATCTTCCCTTGAGGGTCTTTAAAATAAATAAATCGATGGACAAATAAATAAAGCAGAAAGATAACGCACACTGGTCACAGAAGTGCCATTCGGCGTACTGGAGCCCAACTCGCCTCTACTGAGCGGCTCTGTTAATGGCGTCCGTTACACTGTGAAAATAATGAAGTATTGTGAAGTCTAATACACAGTGTTGCTATGGCTACTGTAAGTTTCCATGCATGAAATGAGTACTGCCTTTTCCTAGGCTGTTAAAAAAAAAAAAGCGATTTTTCACCAGGCTGAAGCGGAGGGCCGTGTCCCAGAATCCCCCATGTCTATCCGTGGCACCTTTCGCGGGTGACGAGGTTTGTTCTGGATTGGTGCGATTCAAAGTGCATTTTACAGAGTGCTGGCAAAACAACTCTGATAGATCGGCCTGAATATTTCTGTCACTGCATCAGCGGAGATTGTATAGTCACCCGAACTATTCTCAGGTTTCACATTTATGCTTTATTTATTCAGAGCATAAAACAATGAGCATATAACACGAGAACAGCAAATAAATAAAATCATGTCAAACGGCTGAAGCCCCAGTTCTGTTCTAATCTTTATTGTAACCTGAACAATATTTAGCATCTAACTTCGGTGTTTCTGTGGGCTTTGTGGGTTGTTATTCAAAGAGCAGGCATATTTAGGATTGAAGAAATAGGCAAATACAAACATATTTAAGCGATCCACTTCTGTTTAATTATCTCGGTCAGATCCAGTTTCGAGTTACACAGCCGCGGTGGCTCTAAATCTCCAAGGACACTCTATTTTTGCGTATTTCCAGCAAGAGAGTCGGATGTGACATTTTATAAGTTAATCTCACCCGTTGGATGCCTTTCACCACCCGATTGTCAGGGACATATGTGGCATTCTGGAAATATTGGGGATATCTATGTCATTGAGGAATTTTGCAGCTCTGAGAGCTGATTTTGGTGAATTCCAGCATCCGTATTTATGCAAGTAACAGCAGGAGTTACAGAACGGTGATATAGTATAATAGTGAGAATCTTGTACTCTCTTGTAGTATAGTAGTGAAAATCTTACTCTCTCGTAGTATAGTAGTATAAGTCTTAATCTTTAAAGTCGTAGGAAACCTGTCTCTCTGTCTCTCTATTTATTGGGATTAAAGCGAGTGGTATGGAGTTGCTCCCTGTTGCTCCACTTAGTATCGCCGCCATGCGTCTGCTGCACCCGTGTCTGTTTGCATATGACGTCTGCATGCGTGTGAAAGGGAAGTATGAATTATGCAGCAGCACTTTAACCTGAAGTGGCTTTTCTCTCCCCCACCAACCCCCCCTCCCAGAAAACAATGAATATGGAGACTCCGGTAATCTGCTGAGGGCGGAGGGATTTTCATGAAAGAGTCTGCATGGGGCAAGAAATGCGTCTCGCAATTAATCAGCAGAGGTGGCTCAGGCGTGCATTCTGGTTGCGTGTCGAGCACATCCTCTTGCGTTTCCCTGCCGACTCTGTGTCTTTCATACACAGCCATTGTCAGCACTGAAGAGTTTCAATAAACATACAATAGGTACAAAAGAAATGGCCGCTTCTGTTTTCGAAAAGGGTTTTTATTGCCTGCAGTTGCCTGGGACAATTTATTGCCAGTAAATAATACTTCAGAGTATTGATCTAGAATGTTATTTCTTTTCAAATGGGAAAGAGAGGCTTATTTTGACTGTTGTAAGATAATCACACAGTAATACACAAAATAATAAAAAAGACCCTTCTTCATGCCTTGATGGAGTCTCTGAATAGCCTGTCAGCTAATGATAGACTGGCACCTGACAGTTAGAAGGCCATTAAAAATACGAAAAAATTATACCAAGAAGCATGTCTTCTATAAGAAAACAAACTGTTCAGTTCAGAGTGGCTGAGGGCATCTGTGATCTCCGAAAATGTCCAAAGTCTCTGATAATAGCAGGTTGTGAGGTGAATGACCTGGCATCACCAAGCTGCCTGACACTCAGTTCAGTTCAATTTATTTTTATATAGCGCCTTTCACAACAGTGTCACCCCAAGGCGCTTTACACGGGTGTTTTGTGATACATTTATGCAGAATGATTCAAAAACAGGGAAATTGGAAGATAAAGAATGAAAGAAGGAAAGACAGATGACAGTGGAAGAGAGGAACCAAGAACTCCCAAGTAGGGAGAAAAAAATCACCTCCGGGGGTCCAAGGTCAACTGGCTGCCCCCCCCCCCCCCCCCCAGGACATGCGAACATTGTAGAAAAAGAAAGAGTGGGCTTGCTTGCTAAATGCAAGGTGGAGACTGTGATCAAGTTTGTAATGTTTGCAGCATGTAAACCCTGTAACATTCAATGGCACTAGCAGTACTGACAGGTAGCAGGGATGAGAACAAGTCAGTCCTTCGCAAGTCTCGGGTAAAAACATTGCAAGTCCGAGTCAAGTCACAAGTCATGTGCCCTAACTCCAAATCGAGTCCAAGTCTTTCCATCATTTTTACTGTTGAGTCACAAATCATCAAACTTGTGACTTGAGTCCCCACCTCTGACAGGTAGTAGATGTTTTAAACCTGTCTGGCTTGGCAACGTCTACTGAGGGACGCAGCCCAAGGGATTCATGTCCGACAAGGGGTTTGGGCACTAGGAAGGGCGCTATAGGGTTTGGGCACTAGGAAGGGCGCTATAGGGTTTGGGCACTAGGAAGGGCGCTATAGGGTTTGGGCACTAGGAAAGGCGCTATATGATAATGGATTTGGGTTAGCTTGGTGAGATTTTAGCGACGTCGAACAGCAAGGCATGTGAGATGCCTTCCAGATTGCCATGGTGACACGGGTTCTCCCCCCCCCCCCGGCATGTCTCCTGCAGTACAGGATCGGCCAGCTGTACATGATCAGCAAGCACAGCAACGAGCAGAGCGAGCGAGGGGAGGGCGTGGAGGTGGTGCAGAATGAGCCCTATGTGGACCCCATCCATGGGCACGGCCAGTTCACCGAGAAGAGGCTGTACCTCAACAGGTACGCAGAGACCGCCACCCCAGGGCTCACAGTGCCGGCGTCCATTCCATCGACATTTCATCCAAAGTAGCAGCTTGTATTTACAGCGATGATTCACATAAGTATATAATTATCTCCTGTTCCACACTGAAATAAAGGTTTTTTTTTTGCCTGCCAATACAGACACTTATGATTAATCAAACAGTTGTATGCCGTAATATTTTCTTCCTGGAAAGGAGTGGTGTTAATGAAATAATTTATCTTTTTTCCAGTTTTTTTGGAAGGAGTTGCGGGACTCAGCAGATGTTGCTAAACTGACAGCCCGTATGTCTCATTTACGGCACTGCGTGATGTCTTTGCTGTATTGGCATCAGCTGAATTATCGGACTGGATGCACTTTATGAAATTAATGTATCTATCTGCCCCTACGTTGGCTGGGCCAACGTAGCAGCAGCATGTCTGAGGATTGTGGGTTCATTCCTCCATCAGCGTGGGGTGGCTATGCGGGGGTGTGGCCAGTGAGGCCTTTTGTATAAGGAGCTTCTTAATGCCATGGAGCATTGCTAATGCTAATGAACATCGCCAATGCTAATGCTAAAGGACACTGCTAATGCCAATGAACATTGCTAATGCTAAAGGACATTGCTAATGCTAACGCAAAAGAGCATTGCTAATGCTAATGCTTCAGCATGACAGAAATTCCACAACATACTGCCTGCTGTCAGTAAAGCCAGAAGTGGCCAGTTCATAGTTAGTCACGCCTACATGTCCTGTCACTTTTGGCAAAGTAAAACAAATTCTGCATGCTCTTCATCGGTTTTACCCTGATATGCTCTGACATGCTTGAAGGGTTCAACATTTACCATTGGGTTTGTCCCTGTGACCCTGACCAGGAGAAGCAGTTAGATAATGTTTACTTTATTACTAAGGTTCATACGCAGGAAATGCCCCAAAGCTTTCGATCAGTCTAAATTACTTTTCCTTTTCATGTGAAATCAGCTCCAGTTGAACCCAGACTATCTATTACTGTGACATTCTGTATAACTGAAACCACAAATTGGTTGTTGCTTCAACTAGCCAGAATTACAGATGGCAATTATCTCACAATTTCTGCGAACTAACAGTTGCACTCAGTCCAAAATGTTCCTTCTGTGAGAAATTCTTTTTTCCTCCAACCAAACTTTGGTGTATGTGCGTGCACTGCATAATCCCGGCCTCTCACTCATTAAAGGAGATGCTGGTGTCCCTCTGGAGGTCTGAGATATCTCACAAGCCCTGCCATCTCTCAACATTTATCAGAGGAAGTGTTTCTGACAGCGAGAACAGAGACCATAGCGAGAAACAGATGGACAAAGGCGCTACGGCATTTTTTTAAAGACAGCAGTTGCCCAGTCAGTTTGAGATCGAAATAAAAAGAAAACTGATTTATATAATTAAATATTAGAAGTGTATCGATACTTGAATAAGGCAGGCAGACAGGCCTCTGCTGTATCATGCATGCAGGCCTCATGCCACTTCTACCATGCAGGGGTGGTGCTTAAGAGGCCAGACTCCTAACCAGATGGACACATGCTCAGATCCCAGGATGTCCCTCAGGTGATCTGCACCAAAGCTATCCCACACTGTGAATAAGATTAAATTGTGGAAAAAAATTAAACAACAATCTTCTAAATAACCAATCTGTTTACGTCATAATCTGGGTCATTTCTGGAGATGGATTACCTGATAAGTAAGACCTCAGCCCTGATGGACTGTCCAGCCCTGGTTAGTTCAATAAACACACACCAGGCAGTACTTTAATAAGACCAAACTATCGTTTCTCCAGTTATTTTACTACTACAATTATTCAGTCATCTTTATTCTCATTCATCTTCCGCCTTTGATGTCTGACTATTAGATATGTACATTTTTGTCTGGGGAAAACCAGCTTGTTTCTAAGCGACGCAGTTCAGACGGAGAACAGAGGAGGGGAAGGAGCCTTTAAGACAGCCACAAGTGTTGTCAACACTCTTTGGACCCTTGTAGAGTGGAGGAGTGTGGTTGTATAATGGATGGTATTCCCAGAAAGACACACAGCTGTCCTTCTGCCTACTGGACAGGTACCTGCCCGGGACAGATTTTCCCAGCATTCCTGGCAGTTGACAAGTTGGATTCCCGGAGTGTTTATTCTGATTGGTGGGGAAGAGCTCTGCTGACAGGCTGCGGATGACTCCGCTTTGGGGTCCTCCTTGGTTACTTCTGCCAGGGTTTGTAGAACCCGTGGATAAGCTCAATCAAACCAACATTGTAGGACATGGCGAGTTACGGCAGTGTGGGTTCCCTGCGGCATTCCTGTTCCCGCTCCGAGTCCAGCGACACGCAGGTGGACAGGCTGCAGTTTATAAATTGCCCACAGTGTGTCAGCGACACGCTGCCGTCCTGTACAGGATGTCCTTTGCCTTGGAGGGAGAGGAAGAAGGTGGGGTGGGGCAGGCATTATGTAACATAGAGGAGTGGCCGCGTTAAGGACTAAATAAGGAGTCGATCTGTTGGACTGAGGTACTCGTTTTGACTGTGGAATTCAGGGCTGAACCCACACCTCTCCGCCCCATCAGAGAGTTTCCCTTAAAATGACCATCTTACAGTATTCAATGCCATTGTCACCCTCCCCCAACAGCGTACCCCCCTCAAGGCCTCTGACACAATTCGGCTAATAAACACACTTGAACAGTCTGTGAGGCAGGGCTGTTCTCCGTGCCACTGAGGGCTTTGGTGTTATTGCATGGTGACAGAGAGTGTGAGAGTCTGAAAGAGTGAGTGTCACATCCGATGCGTGAGAGTCGGCGACCCTGCACTCCTATTTCGCGTCTTTACAGCTCGTTCGATGAGGGTTATATAAACTCATTTTAGAGCACTGAGGTGCAGGCAGGTCTATGTCATGTGACTCAGTCGTCATGAGTTCTGCAGTGAAGTGAGCGTGAGGATGGTGAGTGAAACCTCCCCTGTCCGGCATTCTGACAGGGCGCCATATTCTTACAGCGCCAGGGCTTTTACATGCTGTCATACTGTAACTATCTTTGTATTGTAAACACACCAGGTCCCTGGGGTGATAAGAATATCCTCAGGCAATGATCAAGGTCAGAGAGGAGATGTTTCTTTTTCTTATATGAAACTGAGGAAGCAGTTCTTCACTCCCTGCTTTGTGTTATGCTCTCGGACAAGGACAACTGGGCAGAGCCACTGGTATCGGCTCTGAATAGCGAGCTGGGTGAGCAAAAAGGATAACTTTTAGTCACGGCACCTTTTTCCTAAGTCATTTGATGCTGGTGACTAAGTACGGCGTGTTCCAGGACTGCAGACAGCCTTGCAAGATGGTCTTCTGAAAGAGTTTCCATTTGTGTGAGTTTGGCACGCAGCCGTGTGCTACTGAAGACTGATTAAAAGGAGTCCAGTATGTAAATGTTCCTCTCAGCCATGGGTCCGGAGAGATCAGAAGAAAACCTGACCCTCAGCAGACAGTTTAAGCTTGGTTCAGTCCTTGTTTCATTCACCCCTTTTTTATTCCTTTTCATTCGTCATTTTCCTTCTCCTTCCTCAGCAAGTTGCCTAGCTGGGCAAGAGCTGTGGTCCCCAAGATCTTCTATGTGACAGAGAAGGCCTGGAACTACTACCCCTACACCATCACAGGTGACTACCAACCGAGCTCTCCGATTGGATAGGAGATAGGCACATAGTAGGCTCACTCACCCTATGGACTTACACCATACCTGCGCCTCACTCACATCCCAATGACCAAAAAGCCTGTGGATAGCATGTTGTAGATGGTTGACTGTAGTGGGCCGTTAAAGGGGATGGTGTTGACTTACACTGATAACCCTTAGAAGAGCAGCATCTGCTGGACTCAGTCCATTTACTGTGAATTCTACTAGTTTTCTTATCTGGAAATTAATAAATCAGGAAACCAAGAGACAGTCTTCCGATGGAGAGCAGTCACCCTCGATCCCCCATCCCTTTAATTACCGAGGCGCTCTGGGCATGGATGAAGGTTTAACTCGACTGCCCGTTCTCTCTTCCCCCTGCATCGACGTCCATCCCGGGCTGGGACGGCTCAGAATACACGGTGAGTCTCCATCCGACGCCCCGTCAGTCTCCTAGCAGGATGACAGATGTTCATCAGAGTTGTTACTCCATTATGCTTCCGTGTATTCACTACGCACTCAGCCCGGTGCGCGCCCTCTTACGGCGTGTCTGTTACAGTAACGGGGTCAGCTGAACCAGGAACGTTCAGAAACCGGGTAAAGTCATGTGACTTTTTCTCGGACCAGAGAGCGCCATCTGCTGTACGCAGAGATGAAAGGCGCAGTCTTTCGCGGCTGTGAGGTGGACAAAGTGGCGAGATGCAGCTCACCTGCAGTGATGTCTTTCATTTTTCTGAGCACTGCTACATGCCGAATGAGTAGATTTATAGCACTGTATACTGTAATAATGACGAGGGAGGGGTTTGCTGCATGGCTCAGCAAGTGACGTTCCTGTGCATGTGATCAGAAGGTCATCAGTTCAAATCCCAGGGTTGGTTGATTGATGAAACGCCTCTCAATGTTAATGCCTCATAGCGATTACGGATAAAGCAATTTCTAAGCAGGATTGTCCCTGCCCCCCCCCCCGCCCCGACAACTGGGTTTTGGCCACTGGAACCTAATTAATGTTTCATAAGTACACGCCTCCCTTTGGTCTTAGTTCGAAATGTACTGGCAATTAAAATGTACTTTTCCTGCAATAACAAACAAGTAATGATGTTATGTCACGCCTTCTGGTCCCAGTGTAAATATAGCTCACTCTGGCTTATATTTGTTACAATTACTCATGGGCTCAGGAGCCCAGCGGGTGAGGAGAGGACAGCTGATTACCTGATTAGTAAACCTTGGGAACAGAAAAAAATAACGCCGTTAATTAACTGCGTTGATCACCTTGCTCAGAGTTAACGAGTTCCACATGGAATTGAAATCTGGAGCCTCCGTCATTATTTTCCTGTTTGTTTATTTACTTTCTGCAGTTACAGTAACCTTACGTACCAGGACACCAGTATTCCCTGCCTGTAGGGGTACATCGGCAATATGATTTATCATCAGTTTGTGAGAAAACGTTAGCAATGTAACATTTATTTACTCTGATGTAAGGCAAAAGTTTATGAATTAAAATAATCAAAATTATGTTTTTTTTTTTCTTGGACAAACATATCAAAGACAAGCTTTGATCCTTTT